TTTCTAAAATTTTGTATTGTGATAGTGAAGCGATTGCCAACGCAGCAAAGGCAGCGTCGCATCGCTACTCGCCCTCTTTTGGCTACAAAAGAGGGGTTGGAGGCCATTTTGTGAATAATGAAACGAGGAATCATTGAACTGAGCAGCATGAGAAGTACAAGTACCAAACCCTAAAGTGTTGTACCCCATATGAGCTACCCCACTACAGCCTACACAGACTATAGTGTATGAGTTTGACACACCCCCATAGGCAAAGTGGGGGAGAGCAAGGGGTCACAAGACCAGTCAAGCAAAGCAAGGCAAAGTAAGCTCAGGGTGGATCACAACGTCACCACACATTCTGAGCACAAGTTCAAGGCCACAAGGCCAGTTCACATGCAAGATTACATATATATAAGGCTAAACAAGCAAGAGCAGGTATATATATATGTAACAGTACAAACAAGGTCAAGAAGAGAGCAAGTGAGGCAAGGTAGGCACAATGCCCAGCTGAGTACAGAAGCGCTGATGATCACAAGGCGCGAGTGCCTTGGTGAAGATATCAGCAGTGTTGGCCTGAGAGGCCACGTACGCAAGTCGCAGCTGACCACGCTGCTGTAGCTCACGAGCTAAGAAGTAGCGAAGAGCAATGTGCTTCGTTCTGTGCTCCAGTCTCTGCTCCCGACACAAGGCCAGCATGGCCTTGTTGTCTACGTACAGCACTGGAGGAGAACAAGGCGGCTCTCCGAGGTCAGTCAGCAGGTAGGTGAGCCAGCGAAGCTCCTGTGCAGCCATGGCCCCTGCGTAGATCTCAGCCTCACAACTGGAGCCGAGAACAGAAGACGAGCGGGTAGCCCGCCACGAAACAGAGCCGGAACCAAGGCTGAAGGTGTAACCCTGTGACGACCGCTGCGTAGCCTGGTCGTCAGCCCAAGAAGCGTCTGCGTGTCCAGTGAGGACCACTGGACTTTGACCTCCAAGCACAAGCCCCATGCCCGACGTACTGCACAAGTAGCGCAACACCCTCTTCGCTGCAGCCATGTGCTCCGGTCTGTGTCTCCCAGGAGCAACATAGCGTGCGAGAATGCTAAGAGGGTATACAAGGTCAGGCCGTGTGCAGGTCATCAGGTACATGAGGCAGCCAACAAGCTCTGGGTACGGGCCACTCGACTCTACGGACTCATCCGAAGGCAGAGCTGAGAGCGAGTGGCGAGTAGGCAGAGGAGTGGCCTGAGGCGAGGAGTACGTGAAGCCGAAGCGCTGAAGGACCTGCTGCACCATGTGTGACTGAGTCAGGGTAATGGTGCGCTGTGCTCTGTCCCGGGTGATCTGCAAGCCAAGGTAGCTGCGCAGTTCACCCAGGTCTGTGCACGTGTGTCTCTTCTGCAGCTCGGACTTCACGTGGGCGAGTCCAGCAGTGTCAGCTGTGGCAAAGACCAAGTCGTCGACGTACACGAGGATGTAGAACGGCGACAAAGAAGTGTCGGTGCGCAGAAACAGCGACGGGTCGGCAGTAGAGGGAGCAAACCCAAGAGCCGCAAGTGTAGTCCTCAGTGTGTCGTGCCACTCACGCGGTGCCTGGCGGAGACCGTAGACTGGCCGCCGGAGGCTCCACTGGGTGCCAGGAGGAAAAGTCCCAGTGAAGCCAAGTGGGCGGCGCAGCCAGATCTCCTCGTGCAGGCTGCCCTGCAAGAAAGCAGTGCTGAAGTCAAGAGAGTGCAGCTCGTAGTCACGGTGAGCAGCTATGTGCAGCAGTACCCGAAGAGTGGTCATCTTCGGGGTGGGAGAGAAGGTCTGAAAGTAGTCAACTCCCTGCCGCTGACTGAAGCCACGAGCCACGTAACGCGCCTTGAAGACAGGCGGAGAACCCGGCGGCCGCTTCACCCTGAAAATCCACATGCCACTGACGATGTTCGCCCCAGGCGGGGGAACCGCGTCAACGTAGGTGCCTGTGGACTTCCAGGAAGCCATCTCTGCGTCCATGGCTGCCTGCCACTGAGAGGAGTAGGGACCCTCTATCGCCTCCGCGTAAGAGCGCGGAGTCGGGATGTCAAGTGCATCCGGGTCTCCCTCAGGGGTAAGCAGTACGGACACGAGATGAGGTGAAGCAGCAGCCAAACACTGGAACTCCTCCTTCCTGTCCTCAAGGACGTCCGTGCCAAGGGCACACTCACCCCCGACGGACGGAGGACAGACAGACTCAGACTCAGCAACAAGACTAGCAGCGTAGTCTAGACGACAGCGAGCAGCAAAGTCGATGAGCTCAGCAACTAGGGCAGACGCAGCAGTGGACTCAAAGGAAGGGTCAGTGACAACAGTAGCAAGGAGACGCGTGACAGTCGGACTGGCAGCACGAAGAGAGTCCGACTCCGGGTCGGCAAGAGCAGGAAGAGAGGACTCAGGAGGAGAAGGCAAAGGGGCACGCAGAGGAGCAGTGGACGGATGCAGAGACATCCGGTGCGTGCCAGGGACAGGAGGAGGACGCTGACGCGAACCACGACCACTAGCGCGAGCAGCACGGACAGGCGACGCAGGGCGAGACGCAGGCTCACGAAGCTCAGCAAGACCTCCAGTAGGACCAGTGTAGGGAGAAGGAGCAGGCAGTGGGGAGGCCGGCTGTAACTGTAACTGCGACGGGACAGGCTGTGGACACTCTAAGGGAGGAGGAGGACCAGTAGAAGCCGGGAGACCAAGAACCTGCTCAAGGAGCGGAACGAAGTATGGCCGAGGCCGCGCAGCGACTCCAGACACAGCAGGGACAGCACCAGTACCCCCAGTGGCAGCACCAGCGCCAACAGCACCGCCAGCTCCAGCACCCCCAGCAGCTCCACTAGCTCCAGGACCTCCAGCAGCACCAGTAGCACCCCCTGCAGGACCGCCTCCAGTACCGCCAACAGTACCCTCAGCGCCAACACCCTCAGCAGCTCCAGCTCTAGTCGGACCACGAGAAGACGCAGTGGCCCCAGCTCCAGTAGTACCCGCAGGCCCAGCAGCTCCAGTACTCCCAGTACGAGCACCTCCGGGACCCGTGGTACCAGCACCCTCAGCAGCCGAAGAACCTCCAGCTCCAGCAGCACGCCTCCAGCGCCGGGCAAACCACTCACGCACCTCCTGTGGAGAGAGTGGCTCCCGTCGAGACGGAGCACCCGGAGAACCTCCAGGCCCAGCACCGCCAGACGCCACACGAGTAGGCCCAGCTCCCGCAGGCTCCGCAACTCCAGGCTGAGCAGCCCCAGGCTCAGCACCCCCAGACTCAGCACCCCCAGACTCAGCACCCCCAGGCGCAGCACCCCCAGGCGTAGTACCCCCAGAAACAGCACCCCCAGGCTCAGCACCCCCAGAGTCAGCACCCCCAGGCTCAGCACCCCCAGCAGCATCAGATTCACTAGCTACCTCAGCAGGCTCGACTGCGTCTACCTGGGACACACCTGAAGGGGCAGGACCCTGCGGGGGAAGGGGGTCTACCGGGGGGGGACCTGGCACGAGGAAGAGCGGTGGCGGGGGGAGGGACGGAGTGCGGTAGGGGAAGAGGCGGTAGTAGGGCACCGACTCGTCAAACGTGACGTCCTGGGAGGACAGAACACGGCGAGAGGTGGGGTGGTAGAACTGCCACCCTGGCGCGTCAGGGGGGAAGCCAAGGAAGACGCAGGGAGCAGCACGAGGGGACAGCTTGTCCGCAGACTGGTGTGCCAGCCGGGAAACGAACCCGGGTCTACCCCATATGAGCTACCCCACTACAGCCTACACAGACTATAGTGTATGAGTTTGACACATTTGGCCTCACCCACGTTCTTCTTTTCAGATTTTTAGTTTGAGTTCCCCACCCTCCCACCCTATGTAGTGAAATTGTATGTTGTAGACCTTTGGACGAGATTGATGTACCGTATCACCCCGGATAAAAGCGCAGGTGCGCTTATAATAAAACAGTGTTTTTTAGGGGGGTGCGCTTGTAATTGAGTCATTTGTATAAGCGCATGCGCTTATATTATGACATTGAATTGTAATTTTAAGACACCAAATTGTATATTTCACTCTTGCCATTTCAACCGAGTCGTTTTTTTTTCCCGTCACAAAGCAGAATCGCGTGCAAGCGATTCTCTCCCAGCACAGAGGGGCCAAGATGCGACACTTTGCAGTCATGCCAGCACATCCTGACTGGACGCGCAGCCAGTCAGGTCTTCGAGAGTCAAGCTAGGCGAAAATGAGATTGTACTCGCTTCGAAATTGAAACTCGCTAAAGTTTTAAACAGAAATTTTGATTTAAAATTGTACATGCGCTTATAAAAAGTAATGTTTTCACAGGGGGTGCGCTTATAATTGAGGATCGGCCATAAGCGCATTGCTCCAGATAGAAGCGCGCGCGCTTATCATAGGCCCGCGCTTCTATCCGGGGTGATACGGTACTCTTACCCAGATGAAATGAAGCACGATGCCTATTACAAGTCGCAATAAGCAAGCTTTCACAATACAGTACTCAAACAGCATCAGCATCATCTATATACAACATCCTAAATAATAATTCAAGCTACCATAAATCATTAGTGAATCAAATTCACCTTCCAAGGCTGCAAGCAACAGCCCGTTATAATATGGTAAGAAAGCATCAACAAAATAAACAAGAGTGAAAGCTCTCAAGGTTATGAGAGCCCACTCCCTCAACAGCAACGGAGGTAAAAGGCCAATCCTGGGTTCTTGAGATCCCCCAAAGGCAAACAGCAGCAGCAGCAGCTGAAGAACTCCTTGCAGGGCTCCAGCACGGATCATTATATTTATGTGTACCACCTCCCACGCTGTGTGACAGCTCCACCTCATTAAGACGCGCCTGTCATTATAAGCAGAAATCAGCTACACCTCTCCAGCATCTGAAGTACCAACGCCGACCAAGATTCGAATCGTAGGTCTTGAACAGACTTCGTCTTGAATCCCGCGTGTACAACGCGCGAACAGGGTGAGAAACCGTCAGAAAGCTGCAGATTCAGAGTATTCCGTAAGCGTCTCCCTTATGTGAACGTCGTTCCGCATTACAGCATCCTGTGTGTATGCCTGAGAACGTCGCTCTCAGTGATTATTCCCACCACAGTCATACGTCCGTCCTCGTCGCCAACTGGAGCGACAACTGGCAGACGAGCAATCTGGGAAGAATAAAATTGGGACGAGAGAACGAGATTCAGAAAAGCGCGCAGGCTGAAGGTAGAGATCCGAAAGAGAGAGAATCGCAGACAGGAATTACATCATTCCTCAACTGCGGGAACGCTTGACACAGCGAACACAGAAGCGAGGAAGCGAGCTGTATTATTACGAACAAACCACCAGGGTTGCACGAATAGCCATGCTTACATTATGATTGAGCATCAGCTCTGCAGCGTCTGAGACCAGCGCGTCCGCTTCAACGTAGACGGGAGTGTCGGTCATTGACTCGCCGACCTGAAAGAGAATTAGAAATCAGGGAATCAACATTGGATGGGTTAGCGAGAAAACAAGTTTAACAAAGAAAACATATGACGAACGTAAGTTCAAAATACTGCTCTGTTGATATCAGGAAACCGGCACAAAACAGGGTTACTATGTCTAATCAATTTTGTAGAAAAAAACGTACCTTCTCGCTCATAATTTTCGTGATCTGATGTCTCAGCGTGTCCACCATGGGACCGTGGTTCAGGTTGCCGTAGTAGCACGAAAGGCGGTGAATCTTGTCCTCTTCCTGATGTGGTGGAAAAGTGAATGACACCACCATACACGCAATCGAGAACACAGAAAACACGTATGGTACAAATGATTGTAACGCGGAACCGAGTGAAGGCGCGAGTCGATGAAAGCACAGCGGAACTAAAGCACATGGCACAGTACAAACACAGAAAGAGATGAGGAAACAGAAAAAATGAACGAACGGGGGGTGGGGGTTGGGAGAAGAGGGGGGAGGGGAAGGGAGGGTGGGGGGGAAAGGGGGGACGGGGAAGGGCGGGGAAGGGGGACAAGAAGGAACAAGAGGGAGGAAGCGGACGAACGAACAAGAGAGATGAGGCATTGGCTGACATGAAGGGCGAAACGAGGTAGCTTACAGAAGGAAAAGGCTTCCGCTGCTTCCAGAGAAGATCTCGTTGCGACAGCACGCCAACGAGCCGACCCATTCCCACCGCATCCCCCTCTAGAGGCTCCACGACCGGCGCTCCCGTGAGACGATACCGCAGCAGAGCCTTCGCCGCGGCGCATAGCGACGTCTCTGTTCGGAAACACAACGGGTTCGGGGTCATAAACTCGCCGACTTTCCGGTCCTCCCACGTGTCGACGCTCTCGCCGATCCGCGTCAGCCGTTCGTCTTCCGCGAAATCGTGGCTGAAATCGTCCTCGTCGTCAAGAGGCGTGTGGCTTCCGGGTAGAAGCGTTGTTGTGTCGGCGAGATACACGCTGTTGCTGACGAAGCCTGTGGTCTCACGCTCAAGGAAAGGCGAACGACGCTCCACGTCCTGCCACGTGCCGGCCTCGGAGCTCTTCCTCGGCGCGCTTCGGCTTAGGGTCGATTCGGCGGATGAATCGCACGATACTCGAAGGACGGATGGACTCTCCTTGGTGATGCGTCGCGGAATCTTGGCGGAGAGAGTTTGCGAGGGAAAGCTAGAGAGACGTAGAGCGGCAACGCAACGAACGGCTTCCATGACCAGGGACTAAGAACGTCTGAGAAACGAAAATTGAAGATCTGGACCGACACTAGTGATTCCTAAATCTGCGTGTCTCCTTGCTTCGGATGATGACAGAAGCAGGACGCTAAGAAGTTATGATGATTGTAAGTATGTAGCGAAATGAAGGGTGCGAGGTTTGTCTGTCGCTGTCGGTGGTTGCTGAGGAGATAGGTAACGTATGGAAGTGGAAAAGGTGAGCAGTCCTGGTGGAATGAGGAGGAGCGGAGAGGAGAGACGGCGGAAGGGAGGGGAGCGCGCAGTGATGTGCTCGTGAGGAGGAAATGTTGCGGATATGAACTTGTGTCATTCCATGCTTTCGGTCAGTGTTGATGTGATGAGGGGAGAGGAAAATAAAATTCATCCGTATGCGTTGGACTGCTGTGGTGTCGACTTGGTGTGATATACACGTATTTGTGTTTTTGTTGAGTTTTAATCAGTGGCGCCTACCCACCTTTTGAAAATTTCTTCATAGCGTTACTTCATATCAATAATCCTCAGGGGGGGTCACGCTAGGACACGAGGGGTTTGGCGGAAGGGATGCTTGGGTTGGGGGAGCGCAGGCTGTGAAGCGGTTGCCTCGCACGGTCGCACCAGCAGTTCCAAGCGGTTTCCACTGAGGCGGAAAACCGCGTTCGATGAATGATGATGATGATGTGTGATGTGATGTGCGTCGGCGGGGCGGGAGGGGAAACTCCTTTCTCAGAACACGCAGGGAGGGAGGGCCATTGTTCAGGCAGTCTGGGTTGCGTGCACCGGGGTCGGAAGAAGCGGTGGGGCGGAGTGGATCCCTTTTGCGCCGAAGCACCTCCTCCAGTTCGCAGCGGGTGGAAGGAAACCGTGATGCTGATGGCGACGGCGGCGGGGTATGGTTTGGGTTTGGTTTGGGGGTACATGCGTGGGGCAGTTTGGGAAGAGATGCTTTCACTGTTGCATTCAGGGGTCGCATATTCGGGCGCAATTATGCCCAGGTCGGCGACGCGTACCGCCATTTTAGCAGAGCCCATCATCAACGCATTCCCCGAGGCATTACACGGCGAAAGAAACGCATCAGCTGACCTGGCCTGACCTGTCTGCCTGGCCTGACAGAGTGGTTGGTTGTCCAGTCGATTGTGGTCGTGGCATATGTATCTCATTCTTTCCCATGCCCGAAACACATAGTGTTAATAAAACTGTAAAACCTCCTGTTTGTCCGGGGAAAATTGAACCATAAATGTTTGCTGGTGCCTCACTGTACGTACAATTTTGAGCCTGCGCAGGACTTTCGGACTGACCAAAGCGTGATGTTGACCACACTCCATCAGTCCACTCCATCAGTTGAACTCTGTATTTCAAGCACCTTCGCGACAAAATGCAACGACTTGTCAGCTGGCAAATCGTTTTTAAAAACAGAGCAGACTGCTCCCGTATCCACGGAAATCGCTGATCTGGCGTCCAACCTCCTCGGAGCAGCCACCACTGGCGATCTGCGACCGTGACGTGGTGATCGCCGCTGCCTTGATTGGTGTCCCAAGACGTGACAAGTATGGACGTGAAGCCACGCAGGGTCGAGTCACCAATGAGTGATTGTTGTCAGTTCGCGGGGATTCTTCGCGCGAGGGAATGACGATGTCCTTATCCCTTGCATGTGTCTAACTAGCAGGGTGTATGGGGAAAGTAGCTTTTATGTGTGTGTATGTTACTGTATACAGAACCGGGTTTGCAATGTCGCAAGAATCTTGTAAGGCAACACCTTGCTGCTGCGAGTGTCATTTAGGGCGTGTCTGAAGTGAAACGTCGACGAATGTACAGTTTCGTCGAGGAATGTCGGTGAGTTTCAACCCTCGGATCGAGCGTTCCAACCGTCAGGATTCCTCGACATCCCTCAAAGTTGTCGAGGAATGTCGACGTTCACTTCAGACACGCTCTTAGGAGCAATCAGTACCCATGGACAATCGGTACCCATTGCTTGGTATCTGTAGGCGCAATCAGTACCCGTGCACCTGTATCGGGGTCTTGCGAGTCACTCGGGGCACCAAGCTTCACAAACGAACACAAAATGTCGCCTCGGCGTGATTCCAGCGCCAAATTTACACTGTGTACAAAGTGCGCCTCGAGAGGCCCGGGACCGATACTCTTCCTAGTGGGCTCATGGAGTCAGCTCCAGCTGGCTACAAACCAGCCGTAAGTCAGTCTAGGTCAATCAGAAGCGGAACAGCATTCCGCTAATTCCGCATGTCAACACAGGTCAGCACGTGTAGAGGTGGCAAGGCAACACAGATTCAAACCACTCAAGCATTGAATCAGAGCTTGGTGTCTTTAGGCGCAATCAGTACCCATGCATTCCCTTACATCATTCCCTCCTCACAGTCAGACTGTAACGTATTACCCTAACTACCGAGCTAACAACCATCGATCTCTCTCTAAGTCAATTGTTGAGAACTTCTCTCGACAAAGGAAGAGTTGGAGAAGATGGTTGAGTTGGTTGGGATGAAACTTGGTTTGGGTTTGCCAAGCCTCAACTTTGGAGGTTTGGAACATTTCCAACTCAACCAAGAGAATGTTGAAGGTTGGAATTCCAACCAATCAGAAACTGCCAAACAAGTGTTACAATCTACTCTATCCTAAACACAACCATTGAATGGTTCTAAGTTGGGGTTTCCAACCCAACACAATTTCCACATAGGCTCCAAGCCTAGGAACCATCCCACCATGGAAACCATGGTTGGGATAGTTCCCCAAGGGGTGTATTGAGGAGGTCTGAGCTAAGCAAGCTCATTCTCAACCTCCCACTCCAACAAAACAATTGGAAATGGGATTGTTTCTCTAAGTCCTTTTGGGCTCTCTCACAAGTCTCCCTACACTACTACTCCAAGTGCTTTTCATCAAAGGCATCAAGAAGATCTTCATCTCCAAGGCTATTAAGGCTAGTTAAAGCTACTATTTTGTATTGGAATATTATAAAAGCCTTGTAACCGCCATTATAATAGCCCTGGGCATTACATTGGTATCTAGAGCAAGGTTCTTCCTTGGCCTTGTGTGGCCATTTGCTACTTGGACTATTTTTTTTTAGAGGATCCTAGCTTGTGGATCCAGGATTTCATCCAAGGAGCTATCAAGATCTTTGAAGATTTTGAAGAAATTTCAAGATCTACAAGTGGTTCTTCAAGATATACAAAAGCTTCTACAAGATCTCCAAGCTTCAAGCTTCAATCTCCTCAACACACCATTGGAGCTTCAAGATCTACAAGGAGCTCATTTTTCTTCATCAACATTGAGAAGAAATTTGAAGAGATTAATTTCTCTTACCCACCTTTGGTGGAAGACTCTTGATCTACTTTGTGTAGAAGAGTGTACCTTCAGATCTATAAAGGGCTTGTTGAGGATTACTCTCTTGAGTATATCTTGCTCTATCATTGAGGTGATAGAGAGATTTGGCAAACAATGTGAAAAGCAGTAGAAGAAGGCGCCATAGCTAGGAAAGCCCTAGCTAGGCAAGAAGCAGTTTAGGCAAAGAAGGAGGGGTTGCACTAGCAAGAATGAGGATACAAATAGCAAACCCTAGAAGGGTTGTACTCGCTATAGAGCACCCCACTACAGGCTAGAGCATAATATTCTGACACACCCCCATAGCCAAAGTGGGGTGTAATCAGCAGAGCAAGCAAAGCAGAACAAGCTCAGGGTGGATCACAATGTCACCACACATTCTGAGCACAAGTTCAGGAAGCAATAGTTTAAAGTTCACAATTATGAGCAAAGCTAGTGGTAGTCACAACGGGCAAGTGAGGAGGAGGAGGGACAGTGAGAGGAGAGGAGATAGGAGGCGACGGCTGAAGCTGCAGACACACGGGCAACAGGAGGCACACTGGCACAGCGGCTACCGGAACAGCGCTCCGGACTACTGGAGTAACTGGCCCCGCGGCTAAAAGTAGCGGCAAACGAGCAACGGACCCACGGGCGACTGGCACAGGTGGCTACGACTGGGCTACCGGAGCAACTCCCCGGACTACAGGTGCTGCTGGCGACACGACGGCAACCTCCGTTCAACCTCCCCCAAACAGTACCACCCCCCTTGACACACACCCCCTGCTTCACCCCTAGCTCCACTCCCCCTTCACCCCCCCTTAGTACCACTCCGACGGCTCCAACAGGTCCACCCCCCTTCAGCGGCAGCTGCAGCACAGGGAGACGGAGGAGGAGGAGGAGCAGGGAACGGCACACAGAAGCTGCACCCCCATACCCCCCACCCCCAAACCCTAATCCAGGAGAACAGGCAGAAGGAGGGGTGGGGCGCCTTCAGAAGCACGGGGGACAGCGGGGAGGACAGGGGCAGCGAAGAACGGGCCGCCCACGGGCCTGGCACAGCCTCCCGAACCGCGCGCAGGCGGCCCGAGCCGCGCGCGGGCCTGGCGCAGTCCGTACGGGCCGCGCGCGGGCCTGGCGCAGCCCGTACGGGCCGCGCGCGGGCCTGGCGCAGCCCGTACGTGTCAGAACATTATAGCTCATGCATAGTGTGTAGGCTATAGTGGGGTAGTCCATAAGGGGTACAACCCAATTAGGGTTAGTACTTGTACCCAATTCATTCATAGTTCATTCAT